CTAATATTTCTCTATTACCTAAGAGATATTCATTACAGCACTATTTAAAAATCCTTGGTGTGCCTCTAATAATTTTCTTAGGATAAAAACAGATTTACTGGGTATGAAGAATAACCTTTTGAAAGACACTGCCAAATCGCCTTCCATACATGTGGGAGGAACCACATTCAAACTGTCATCCCTATCAAATGCTGCATAATGGTTAAGAGGTCAAAGATGAAAAGCTGCTTTGGTTTGGCATTTAGGCACTAGAAACCTCCAAGGAAACGCCTATAAAAGCAAGGTCGATCTTCAGGATTTGTTCTGAGCTTTTGTTCTTGATTTGATGCTCTCTGTCCTGCCTTAGGAAAAGCAACATGCTTGCAACCATCACCTGCAAGCAGAAGGCTCCCATGTCTGCCCCTCTCCTTCAGATGCTGCTGGCATATTTCTGAGTGCTTTTCCCCGTGGAGGTTTCTCTGTTACCTCAACAAATCTAAAGCCAAATGAGGTGCCTTCCCCAGAACTACCTCCCTTCCCTGACTTTCCCATTTCTTTAGTAATTTATTGCATAAATCGTTTCTTAAATACTCAAGTGCTTGCTTAAGGCTCTGCAAACAACACAGCCAAAGAATTCCTTCTAAATACAGGACAATGTCCCTGGAACCAGTTGGTACACCCCAAACACATTCCATGTGGTTTCTTAGCACCCTATAGATAGTGGTATGTGAGTGAGTGCTTAGGGGAGATCCAGGCTAGTTCAAGACCCTCGTCAGCTCTTGCATGACAATTGCAATGCCTCCTCATTTATGTCCCTCCCAAGGCCAGCCTACACTGCTTTCATCAATTCCCACCTCCTCAAAACTTCCACAGGTTTCTCACTGCATAATGGGATAAAATCCAAATTCCAAGGCCTTCAAATCCAACTGCAACCTTTTCCCCAACTTTATGTTTTGCTTATTCCCACAAACCTTCTGACCCAGCTTAGATGTGCTGACTCCTTAGCCCAAGGACATTATAGGTCTCTTTCTGCTTTGGTGCCTAGATTCCTGCTGTGCTTTGTTCCCCCAAAAAAGTGTTCTTTCCTATCAGCATCTCTCCATCCTTAAAATTCCCACTGATTCCATGAAGTTTCCCCTGACCACTTCATCCCTTAGTGTTCTCTCCCTCCTGTCGAAACACTTTCTGAAGGATGGTGCTTCCATCTACCCCAGACATTTGAAGCTCAATCATCCATTGTTCAGGGGCATCTGGCATCATTCCCTGGGACTACTAATTTAATTTCAGGTGCATGTGTCCCTTCTGGATAAGTCTCCTCAAGGCAAGATATCTCTTTAACAGCCTTAACACTACTGGCTGGGCATAGTAAGTGCTCAATATATATATTTCTTGAATATACCCAACGTATTATTTTGGAAAATTTTTAAACAAGTTATAGACATGTTATTAATGTATATTAGAGAGAGAAAGAGAGAGAGAGAGAGCACACAAGCGCGGGCGCTGGAAAGAGCAAAGCAGTTATTGTATTCTCAGCACCTACCACAGCGCCTGTCCTATAGTAATGACAGGCCAATGGGTCCATTAGCATTCTAACTCCAACTGAGTTAAGCAGTCACAGAGACCACAATTTATCAACACAGAATTTTGGCATTACCTTGTTCCTACATGATGAGTACGAGTCTCAGAACTGTGAGATTTCACAGCCTTCATGGGCAAGCTCATTCTTATAATGGATTATAAAACTGACCAAATTTCACTTTGAGATCACTAAATTTATTTGACTATCAACGTAATTAACTTTGTTATTCAAGGTCAAAACATTGTAGTAAGTACCATCACTAAAAGGATGTATATGTTCAATTTGTACACAAATTCAAAGTACAGCTCTAGTTACGAATGTTCTTCAAAAGTTGCAGTGATTGGGGCGCCTGAGTGGCTCAGCCGGTTAAGTGTCTGCCTTCAGCTCAGGTCATGATCCCAGGGTCCTGGGATCGAGTCCCGCATCGGGCTCCCTGCTCAGCAGGGAGTCTGCTTCTCCTTCTGCCCCTCTCCCTATTCATTGTTCTCTCTCTCTCTCAAATAAACAAATAAAATCTTAAAAAAAAAAAAAAAGTTGCAGTGATGATAAAGGCACCCTTTCAGTCTAGCCAAAAACCAGCTACTCCGCACGTTTGTAAAGAGAGACCATCCTACCTTTGGAGCCAACATTTCCATCTGTACTGGTTTCACAGAAGCAGTAGGTTTCAGTTGTTTGTTGACATTTGTTTTGGTGGGTTGAACAGGTATTTTGGTGTTCTGAGCTTTCTACAAGGAAAAAGAAACATAAATAGGGCAAGATAGTGTTGCTTCTCAGAGTTACACACAATCAGCCTAGTGTGCACATGGACAGTCCTCATGGCTGTTACCTTAGCTACTTGTGTAGCTCTGGTTGTAACTCTATTTCCAATTTCTTCTAAAACTGCCCGTCTGATTGTCACATGACTCTTAGCTTTAGAATTAACTCCAGTGTCAGCATTCTCCAAATCAGTGGACACCTTAAAAAAAAAGAGAGAGAGAGAGATAGAGTTAATGATGAATTGAGACAACATATAATACTTTGCTAATGTCAGATATCCAAACACAGAATTTGGAAAAGGTAAATATGCAGAGATCTATTTGTGAGAGGGAAAAGATACATTTTTTTAGGAAGACTAAAAATGCTATTTGTGATTGATCATGTCACTTGAAATTAGGCAAATCACTTATCCACCATTTCTGTAAAATAAATAATCCCAATAAGAGGTTTCAAGATAAGTGATTATTTCTTATATAGCACCCAATTGTTAAAGATCCCTGTATACTAAATTAATCTATTTAAAAATCTTTCTTTAGAGTAGCTTGGTTAAGAGTCCTACTCTTGATTTCAGCTCAGGTCATGCTCTCAGGGTTGTGAGATCCAGCCCCCCACCTCGGGCTCTGCACTGGGCATGAAGCCTGCTTAAGATTCTCTCTCTCTCTCTCCCTCTGCTCCTCCCCAACCACATGTGCAAGCTCTCGCTATAATAAAAATTTTAGGAAGATTAGTAACAAGTACAATTAAAACATTTAAAAAGCCATAATAGGTCCAGATGTTTAAAACCTAAACTAGCTTTGATTCTCATGCCATTCTACAAATAAGAAGTGCTCCTATAGACATGATCTTCAGAGATACTACCTTTTAAAATGAGGTTGCCATAGCACGGACTCTCTTATGTTAAAGATACTTAGAAAGGAAATTGTTTTCACAGGTAAAATAGTTTTACTCTCAAATTCAGAGAAAGTTGAAATGGTATGGAATAAAAAATCATTAGTTGACCTTAACCTACTTTTGACAGAATGTGCTTAGAAACAAAACTTGCTAGAAAAAGCAATTCATACAAAAAAGTTTATTTTATTGTAGAGGTGATAAACATTTCGTGAGGAAAAAAAAAAAAGAATGTACGATCCCTGAGAATTGTGAGTCCTAATCTTAAAAAATCTCCCAAGAGGGGGTTTGAATGGATCTACAAGGATAGACAGAGGGGGCAGGGGAAAACTCAAGCCTTCCCCGAATAGAAAGAATTTGACAATGAAAGAACTTTATGGGACAGATTAGACAAAAATTTCTTGTCAGTTCAACTTAGATCCACAAAAGGATAGGAATTAAATACCGAATGTATTCAACTTATTAGGATTCTCAAAAGCACACTGTTCAAATTTTTCCAGCAGTAATTGCCAATTTTAAAAAGTGTTTGAAATTTTAATGCTTATGGGTCAAAGCCTGGTTATCTAAGTTTAAATCCATCTGGAGGGGAAAACTGACAGCTTTTAACTAGGCTTATAGTCAGGAGGATGGAACTCAGGTGTGTCAGGGCCCTGCATTTTCCAGCAAAGGAAAAGTAGACCCAGATACAATTCAAGACCACAGAAAAAAAACATTCAAAACACCATTACCACTCCCATTTTTGCAAAGATGAAACAAATGAATCTGGACCCTTTCCTCTGTTTGCATATGTCCCAAATTATATGCAAAATCTTTATTAAACTTGATTAAAGAAATTAATTTTTTAAAGTGATAAACGCATAGGTTAGTGAACTTAACCTGGAAGACTTGGAGCGCAGAAATAAATAGGAAACTTCACACAAAATGAAATGTGAAAAATCCGAAAAACAGCCATGACTGTTGCCTGATCAAACATTGAAGACAGCTGACCACCTAGTTTCTTCCAGTCCTTCTCCCCATCCCCCATCCCTTAGCTGGCAAGGAGTTTGAGAACAGAGGACGGAAATTACAACCACCTCTATTTAGATAGCACTCCAACAAAGAGCACTCGGGGATCGCTCACTGAGCACCAAGTCCAGTGCTGGAGAGGCTCACTTGACAGGTGCCACCTTCGAGGCGCTTTCCCACACTCTCCTCACCCTTACACTTCCCTCACCCCTGGACTGGCCAGGGCGGAAACCGGGAACCCAGAGCGGATCCGAGGAGGGGAGAGGTTGGCAAAGAGGACAGGCGGCAGGCTGGGGCGCAGGGGAAGCGGGCAGGAGGGGAGAGCGGCACCCGTTGGGACGAAGAAGCCCTGCGCAGGAGAGACAGGGAGGCTAGAGGCGGGTGACCCGGCTGCGCGGCCGAAGAGCCTGGCGGGTGTGGGAGGTCGGCCGGGCCCACTCACCGTCGGGCGTCGGAGCAGCGCCATGTGGGAAGGGGCAGGCAAGAATGCCAGCCCGGCCCAGGAAGGGACGCGGACCGGAGAGGGAGGACACAAACTTCCGCGGCGCCGTTAGCTCCGCACTCCGGCCCGCACCGCTTAAAGACCTTCGCAATGTCGCCTTGTTACAGGATTCAAATACCGCGCCGCTCGCGCCCCCATTGGGCGGCCTTACGTACGGCGCGCTCTTCCTATTGGCTAGGCGGGAGGCATTCCGGCAGGCGGATTGGCTGAATTTTCAAGACCCGTTTGGTTGTCATGACAACTGGATGGTTGTTTTTTTTCCGCCTACTGTCTTTTTTTTTTCTCCTTTATTTTTAAATCTCGGCCTCTAAGATCAACAAAAATGAAATGTCTCACTGAGGACTCAGACGTAGGATTGCCTTCTCTGAATTTTGAGTAGGTCTCACCTAAGAATGTCTCTCTACGTTTGTACTAGCTGGGCGGAAGTTCGTTCTAGGAAACACCTTGGAACTGCCATTTCTGACCTTTATTCCTCTTCCGGAAACTTCGAGTTGGAGTCTAGGTTGGGTTGGCCTGAGTGGGGGAGTAGACGCCTCTGGGCGGTTCAGGGTCAGCACTGTTAGGTGGTTGAGACTCAAACGTGTGCTAAAGGAGTGGGACTTGTGGCATTTGCTCAAAAGCTAAGACTCCCAGGAAGAGGAAAATAAAAAGGTAAATGTGATTTGTGTGGTTCGTGATTCATGTAAGCTCTCCATTGTTATGACCGGCACCTAGCGCATTTTTCGGTATGTATTATTGTCGGTATTCAATAAATATTTGTCGAATAAATCACCCTATGACGTGTAGAAGATTTTAAAATGAGAAAGAGGGTGTGATCCAGCCTTGGGCAGAAGGGTGGGAGACCGGAAAAGAGGCAAGGAAAAAGGGAGAGGAAAGGTCCAACGCCCACAGTAGAGGTAGTGGAATGACAACTGATAGCAGCCTCCGTCCAAGAAGTTGAGCAACGTTTCTGTTCTACCACTTTTTACCACTGTTACTGGGGTACTAATGAGGCTTGAATGAAGTTAAGTAATCTGAATTAAATTCTGCCCTTGCCCTTGCATCTGACGTTTCTAAACCTGTTTCCTCTTTTGTAAAACCCAAATAATTGCAGCTACTATGTGGCATGGAAAGATCTTAGTGTATCCATTGACTGATTACTGAAAATTAGGTATCCAGTGAAAAAGCCTGAGGAAGGAAAAATAGACGTTTAGTGCACCGAAGTTGTGAGTAAAATTATATTTTTACTTGTCATAATATTGTGATATCAAAAGCTAGAACTATGAAAGTAACAATCCTCACGCATTCATAGGGCTTTGTAAACAGGAATGTTGTGGATGGCAAAGTGCTTTTATTAACTGACTTGACATTGTCGACATTGAATAATTTAATCCATATTAGACAGATTGTATTTTCATTAAAAATGGAAATAATATTTTTGTATCCTTCACTGCAACTAACCTGGAACTTTACAAATAAACTTTTTGATTCAACCTTTTGCTTAATGCATTGTGGTCCATATATATTTCTTTTTCTTTTTTCTTTTTTCTTTTTTTTTTTTTTAAGCAATCTCTACACCCAGTGTGAGGCTTGAACTTGGGTCCTGGAGATCAAGAGTCACAAGCTCTACTGACTGAGCCAGCTAGGCCTCTTGGTTCTATTTCTGTTCCCTCCTGTCTCAGGTAACATTTATTGATCACACTTCCTATATACTAATTTACATAAACTTTCTTGTTGAATCCTCATAACAATCTTTATAAAGTAGGTAGTATTATCCCAAATGTTTTGTCATTTTTTATTGAGGTGTAATTGACATATAACATTAGTTTCAGGTATATACAACATTAGATATTTGTATATATTGCAAAATGATCACCACAATAAGTCTAGTTAACATTCATCATGTATTATCCCAATTTGACAGATGAAGAAACTAGGGTTCAGAACAGTTAAAGGTCTTGGCTGCAATCATAGTGCTTCTGAGTTTCAAAGCTAGGATTTGTACTCTAGTTTGATTCCAAAACCTGTGCTCTTTCCACTATATTTACCATTGTTACTCTATTTACATTTGGCAGAAAGAGTGGGAAAACTTTGAAACAGTCATTGAAGGAAATCAAATATTAAATTAACCAAAAATAAATTTCTTAAAAGCCAGTGGCCCTTTACAGTATGGTAAAATTCCACATGATCAATTCACTTTAATTTCTTGGTCAAGTACTGTTTTGAAAAGGTGTACATATGAACTCCAGTGGATATAGGGTGAAGTGAGATGTTTGCAGAGAGGGAGCACCCCAAGCAAAAGCACGGACCACCAGTACTGAACTGGCATGGCTGGAAACAAGGTGAATGGTTTGGCTTGGCAGGAGGTACTGGGCTTCAAGGTAGCTGTTGCCTAGTGTCTTCCAACACCAGGAAAGGGAGTCAGAGACAGAGATTCTGAGATTCTCACACAAATGTTTAGTTTAGTTCCTGGAATGCCAGACGGGAACTCTTCTTTCCTGACACCAAAATTCCCCAGTTTGGGGTAGGGACTTGCAGTCTCGGCTATCAGGACTGTTCTGAATGGTCAAAGACTTGCTTGCTGTTTGTCAGACCCTCCTCGCTTCCAATTTCTTATTCAGGTATATACTCCCCTTTTCTCCTGGCCTTGGGATTCTTTTTCTCAGATTTCCAGGACCTTCCCCCATTGGGGATACTTCACAGATAGCCACTGTTGCAGAACTTAAGAACTTCAGGCAGGAAAAATTGCCTTAGGTCAGTTCGAGGCTGGAAACCTAACAGACCTTCTAGAAGTCCCAAAGGCAGGCCACTAGGACCATCTGAAGCTTAACCCAGGGGCTACTTAATTTGAATAAATGCACTAGAATGTAAGCTCCATGAAGGCAGGGGTATTTGTTTTGTGCACTATTCTATCTCTAGTGCCTAGAATAAATAAGGTGCTTATTTATTGTTGAATTTTTATTAGGACTCATTTGGGTTACCTACTAGTATATTAGACAAGTCCAAAAGCTCAGCTCACGTTCATGGTTTCTGCATCCTTGAAGAATGCTTTTCCACTTCCATCCTTGGTGAGTTTCAGCTGCCATTATTCCAGACCACAGGGCATCAAGGGCCTGGTTTAATTTATATATCATCATAATCTATGTAATATATAATTTATATATCATCTGTGAATAGACAAATTATCATTTTTCACCAGATTTTTATCAGAACCCAGCAATCTTCCTAATATACTCCCATGTTCTCTCCCTCAGTTGCCCTTACCCCATTTCTCTTACCCACCCCCTTCCATTTCTGCCTACCTCTTTCTGATTTCTTTTCTCTCAACTAGCTAGAAGACAAAATATATTTGCTATATTAACATTAAAATGTCAGTTTGTGCGAGGCACTGCAGGGAACAGAGAAGAATAAAGCATGAACCACGCCCTCAAGTTCAAAACAATGAGGAGGAGACATATAGGAACAAAATTATTTTAAGAGGGAGAACCTATAAAAGACTGAGCACAAAGGAGAAGACTAATTCCGGGTAGATGAAGGAAGCCTTACTAAAAAGGAAACATTTGAGCTGAGCTTTGAAAAAAGGGTTAGAATTTAGCAGGCTGGGATGGCAAAGGTGTTCAAGAAGTGGGAGCAATGGGAAAAACATCTGTGGAAAAACCAGAAGTAGTCTCACACATTTGGATCATAGAAATGTTAAAGCTACAAAAGATCCAGAAAATGAGGAATCATGGAACATTTTTAAGAAGGATAATGACTTGGTCAGGCCTTGTTTTCAAAAGCTGACCCACTGGGCAGCATGAAGAATGGATTGTAGTGGATTGGAAAGCTAAAGGTTTCCCAGATGAGATGTAACAAAAATTTGACTTGGATGAGTGTGAAAAATGAAAAATGGAAGCAGGTATGAGAGGCAATTTTGGGGGAACGACAGAACCTTCACAAATAACTGAACATGATGACGGAAAATAATTGTAAAGTAACGAACATAAAAGTTTTGGGTGGTTACGTTAAAATTTTCTTTCAAAAGTTATGCAAACCAAGTTACAGATAAAAATAGTAATTTCCATTGCTAATTTCTTTGGAAGGGGGAAAGGTAGGTCAGTCATTTTTCTTACAAAAAGAAAGCCTTTTCCTCTGCCTTGCTTGCATCCATCTTGACATCTTTCACCTTAACCAATAGGTCAACATTATCTATCCCATGCAGGTAACCAGGTAACTTATTACTAGCTGAACAGAGTGCATGGATATGTCCCAGTCTAGGGCCTGTAAACTTGCTCAGAAGCAAGACAACCCAGAGAGGTAGAAACAAACACCTTTCTAGTGCCTCCATGGGCCTCCACCCAAAATGATTCTTTAAAATCTGGACCTCAAGCTTGTGAATTATCCAAGTTTGTTGTTGTTGTTTAAGATTTATTTATTTGAGAGAGGGAGAGAGTGCACCCAAACAGGGAAGGACCAAAGGGAGAGGAAGAGGAAGAGAATCTCAAGCAAACTCCCCACTGAGCATGGAGCCTGATGGGATGGGGGGGGGCGATCACGTGACCCTGAGATCATGACCTGAGCTGAAACCAAGAGTCAGTCGCCCAACAGACTGAGCCAACCAGGCACACCCTTTGTTTTTAAATAAATTTAATGCCTTCTATAAGCAAGGCATTGCTACTTAGATGGGAAAAAAGGCATAAAAACTGGGTCCCTGCCCTCATGGTGTTTAAAATATAGAGATAAGGTACATGAAAGGATGAAAATATAATTAACTCATCCTTAGAAAATGAAAAGGTACAGGTTCTGTTGAGGATAATAAATCATTGACTCAAGAGTTGTAAAATTATGCTGTTCAATTATTTATGCATTTCCTATTCTCTATTACAGCAGATAAATATTGTGAGGAACTCTAATTTTTGTATCATATCCTATCAGCTTTGGTAGAATACTGAGGAGCTGCAGAATGAAGTGTCCCAGTTGGACTATCAAGTTGACTTTTCAGGAACAGCCCCAATCCTGGACTAACCTGCTCCTGGGGGTGTGCAGGCCTACTTAGACATGAGAGCCAGTCCCTGTCTCACACAGATGATGAGAGTGAAGACTGTGTCTCATTTCCCTTCAGTTTGTAATCCATTTCCAATTCTTTTTTTTTTTTTTTAAGATCTTTAAAGTAATCTCTACATCCAACATGGGGCTCAAACTCATGACACCGAGATCAAGAGTTGCATGCTTCACCAACTAAGCCAGCCAGGTGCCCCTCCATTCTTATTCCTTCTATTTGCACACCCATCCTAGGAAACCTGTGCTCCCTTAGAAAATACACCATTCTGGAGTAATGATTATTTATAGGTATCATACTTTGAGGAACATTAATAAACTAGAAGTATCCAGAATATGGTGACAAGAATAGCTAAGATGCTTAAGATCCAGGTTAAACAAAGTCAAGGGTACTAAGGATATTTCACTTGGGGAAGACCTAAAAAATTCAAGATAGTTGTCTATATCTGAAGAGTTAGCATATAGGAAGACACCAGATTTATTTTTGCATTGCTCTAGAATGTAGAAGAAGTTATAGGAACATCTACCAATAATAATAATAATAAAGAATAACTGTAACTGTTTATAAAAGAATGTGCTTCTTCAATAAGTAGTGACCTCATCATCACTGGAAGAATATAACCAGAGCATGATTAATTGCTTTAGTTAGGAGTCAAGAGAGGGAGAGAGAGAGAGAGAGAGAAAGGAGGGGGAAAAAAGGAGTGGAGGGAGGGAAGAGAGAGAAGGAAAGGAATGGGAAAAGGAAAAGGAAAAGGAAAGGAAAGGAAGAAAGGTTATATGGTATTGGCTCACATGGTCACATGACTAGATACATACATAGATAAATTATATGGTATTGGCTTACACAATTATGGAAGCTGACAAGTCCTACAGTCTCCAGTCTGTAAGCTAGAGACCCAGGAAAGCCATTAGTATAGTTCCAAATCCAAAGGCTGGTAAGCTAGAGACCCAGGAAAAGCCCATGTCTCAGTTTGAGTCTAAAGAGAAAAATGAATCAGGCAAGAGGAATTTTCCCTTAAGTCATGGGGTGCAGGGGGAGGCATGGAAGGTGAGGTTTTTTGGTTTTTGTTTTTTTAAAGATTTTATTTGACACAGAGAGAGAGATAACGAGAGAGCACATGCAGGAAGAGCACCAAGCAGAGGGAGAGGGAGAAGCAGGCTTCCCACTGAGCAGCGAGCCTGACGCGGGGCTTGATCCCAGGATCCTAATATCATGACCTGAGCTGAAGGCAGATGTTTAACTGAGCCATGCAGGCACCCCAAGGTTTTTGTTTTGTTATTTTTTTTAATTCAGACCTTCGACTGATTGGACAGGGCCCACCCACATTAGGGAGGACAATCTGCTTTACACAATCTACAGATATTCAAATGTTAATCTCATCTAGAATCACACCAACAAACACACCCAGAATAATGTTTGACCAAGTGTTTGGGCACTCCATGGTGCAGTCAAGTTGACACATAAAGTTAACCATCATAATAATCATCTATCAAGAATACTGCTGAAAGAATTTCTAAATTACAGAAATACCTAGCTATCTCCATCCCATAGGTTTTATTTTAAGAATTTATTTATTTATTTGACAGAGAGAGCACAAGCAGGGGGAGCAGCAGGCAGAGGGAGAGGGAGAAGCAGACTCCACACTGAGCAGGGAGCCCAATGTGGGGCTCGATCCCAGGGCCCTGGGATCATGACCTGAGCCAAAGGCAGATGCTTAACTGACTGAGCCACACAGACGTCCCCCCATAAATTTCTTTTACTCAAATATCAGCATAGAGAAGTTAAAGTTCTTCCACTACTGATTCCCCTGATTATGCTTGAGAACATAACATCATTTTGCACACATGGCTTTCCCATATACTAAATTTTCGTTTAGGAGGGAAAAAACTAATGAGTTCAGGAAGTTCGTAATAGTAATTCTAAGAAAGCAAAAGGGTTTGTTTTACCTAACTGTGGTAGATTAAAGATAGCCATTTTTTTTCCTGCCACTTCTATTAACAGAGGTAGCTATCTCCCCTCCCCCTCAATCTGGATTATCGCCAAAATGGCTCATTCACATGGCTGTTGATAGGGGGAGGAGAGGTCTCTTGGCCAATAGCCAATAGGGAACCAAAGCTATCAACAGCCATGTGAGTGAGCTTAGAAGCAGATCATCCAGACCAAGTAAAGGCTTCAGATGACTGAGGGCCCCAGCTATCAACTTGACTGTAACCTCATGAGAGACCCTGAGCCAGAAGCACCAGGCTAAGCTGCTTCCAAATTCTGGACCCACAGAAACTAAGATGTTTAATGTTTAAGCCACTAAGTTCTAGAGTTACAAATCAATAAATAATTATTTCACAGCAATAGATAATACAAAACTCTGGGGCGTGTGTGGCTAATAGTGACGTTCTAGGAAACCAGGTACACCACAACTTATTCTCTGAGCAAATGCTAATAGCATGGTAACTAGATAGCAGTTCAGTGAAAGACATTCATTCCTTTTTAAAGGAAGGTCAGGATGCAGTGGATGGGAGACTTGCCACATCTCTTCCAATTCCCTTGTCCAACACTCCTTTTATGAAAGCTCTTGAAAATCTAAAGGACAGAATCCCTGGGATAGCGAGTTTGGGGCATCCCATATTAAGGAAGAATTTCCACATATGAAAGGGGGGTAAGGGCAGGCCAGATTGGAAAACCTGAGTGTCTTGAGTTGCGCTACCAGCCACACAGGCAGTGGAAAAAGTCAAATTCTTCCTTTACAGAGCACAATGTACCAGTGATAATCTGCAGAATTCCACACTTCCCAAAGCTTTCCCCCATATACATACTGAATATTACCACCTAAAGCAAAAATGATTTAGAAGTTCATACTCAAGATTCAGCAGAGCTCACAATGAAAATTAGTATCTAGTGAATCCAGTTCATTTTCTGTAGTGAGGATAAAGAATTGAAAGAGACACACAATTTGTCTGGGCTAATCAAAAGCATCTCCTAGAAACCCATACCTTCCACATGCTCTCTCAGTAATAGCTATTAGCCTAAAAATAAGCCCAGAAGAAGCTAACAATATAGGCAGCTCAGTGGTATGTGCTTAATTAACCCTTAACAGGGACCAGGTCCCTGCATAGCACAATTTGGTGAGGAAAAAATTAGGGGAGAATGATAAGTTCTAGTTGTTAATTTCTCCATAAAATTTTCCTTTAGATCAGAGAACACAAATGGTTTCATATCCTTTGCCAATTCTGATCCACTGGCAATGGCTGCCTAAAATATAGCATTGGATGGTACTGATGGGCAACTAACTATGTCCCTGTTGTGACTGCAAGGCAAGGGAAGAAGGCAAATGTGCTGGAAATCCTCCAGCCCTCTAGCAGAAGAAAAAGTGCAATCCATCAAAGAAGGGCTGAAGAGGAGTGTTCTTTCTTACCTAGTAATTATCTCCTTGGACTCAGAAGAGAAGGATTAGCGACAAACACTGATCTGTGGTTCAGCACCATGCTATGCTACCATTTGTTATCAAGGGCAAGGGTAGTTGTTTTGGGTGGTGGGGTGAAATGCAGTGAGCATTGGTAGAGCTTCTTCTCTTCTTCTTTTTTTCAATTTTATGCAGGAACCGCCAAAGTTTTAGCATTTAATATTTAACAGCATGACTGAACTTCTACTCTTAAGTATGTACTACATGCAAAACTCTTTGCACTTGTTACCTCATTTAATTCTAATAACAACCTATTCTTATAGATGAGACAGATGAGGCTCAGAAAGTTTAAGTTCAAAGCTGCACAATTCAAAGCCCTTGTCTGCCTGACACCAAAACCTATATTCTTTCCACAACTACAGAAATCATTTGTGTGGTCTGTAAATTTGTACAGAGGATATTGTGCCCAGTAGGTCCAACCACAAAATAAGTAACATTTATTTTTCTTAGTAAGAAATAGTTTTAGGGCGCCTGGGCGGCTCAGTGGGTAAGCATCCAGTTCTCGATCTCAGCTCAGGTCTTGATCTCAGGGTCATGAGTTCAAGCCCCCCATTCAGTATTAAAAAGAAATAGTTGTTTTGGACATATAGTTGATCTTTGAACAATATGGGGGAGTTAGGGCACCAACCACCCAGCCGAAAATCCATATGTAACATTTCACTCCCCCAAAACTTAATAACCTACTGTGGACCAGAAGCCTTATCAACTACATAGACGTAACATGTTTTGTACATCGTATGTATTATATACTGTATTACAATAAAGTAAGCTACAGAAAATGTTAAGAATGTCATAAAGACAATAAATAAAAATTTTTAAAAAGAATATAGGAAATACATTTACTATACTGTACTTATTAAAAAAAGTCCATATATAAGTGGACCCATACAGTTCAAACCCATGTTCAAGGGTCAACTGTAAGTCTTAATTCAAGAAGATGATTGAATCTATAACTGAGAGAAGGTATTTCAACCTTGACATATCTAATATTGTGATATTGTCTTTTTTTTTTTTTTAAGATTTTATTTTTAAGTAATCTCTATACCCAAGGTAGGGCTCAAACTTAACAACCCCGAGATGAAGAGTCACATGCTCTACCAACAGTGCCGGCATGTTCTTCTTGAAGAAGAAAATTCACTGTGTTTTCAGGAGTTGGAAGGTAAGTTCGAAATCAGGATGCATTTTCTGCAGAATTAAACTATTCCCATTTATGAAATACTAATATTGAAATGTCGAGTCTGTTGTTATAAATGCCATTTTAAAAAGAGTTATAGTTTTCTGTATGTCAAATTGTTGTGGTTCAAATGATGAAGCATGTTAGCAGCTAAAATAAAGTCACCAGAGTAAGAAAAATGTTTCAAATATCAGTTTATCACTTGCATATTAACAACAATAAAAATAAGGATTTTCTGACAAAAGAATTTTAGTTCTAAAGTATTTGGACAGCTATCACTGAAATTTTCATTTTGACATAAGATGCAGCAGGATATGGAAGACACCAAAACAAAGCACAAAAGTTAAAATATTAAAAATTATTATCTTCTGTACTTGGTTCATTACTAATCACATTTTCTGTAACTAATTACAGTTGCTTACTAAGCTCCTGCATTAACAATCCAGGTTTATGCCACAAATATTTGTATTAAATAAATTTTAGAGAAATAAGGCTTTATCTACATAAAAAAAATCAGTAGCAATTATGAAACAGGTCAACAGGTAGTCGTGCTGTAATATTAATCTGATGTAATATTAAAAAATAGAGAAATCTATCTGTTCTTCTTGTGTTTTGAGGAATATCAAGAGTACTCCATTGTACAGAATTCTCCCCATATATACTTCCACCCTTGACAGGGACCCTGGCTTTTCCAGTGCAAAAGTCCTACACCCATCACAGGCTACTTGAAGACAGGCTACTTGCTCCTTTCCCCAGTAAGATGGCAGGCATGGGCCATGGTCACTCTTTCTCTGTCTCCCTCCTCTGCCCTTCTACAACTGCAGCCCAATCATCAAGTATTCTTTTTAAAAAATGTTACTTTACATCAAATTTCTTAACCATAGTCCATCCTCCATCTCTACACGTAACTATTTTGAAGCATGTTGATACTGACAATTACTACAGTGTTATATTTACTAATACAAAAAAAAAAAAGCAAGTAGCCATAACTGAATGAACATGAAAATTCTGCAAATGTCAACTTGAGATCACTATTTTTGAATTCCAAGATGTTTGATAAAGTTTTATAAAACTAATTATTAAACACAAAGACAATAGAAATATAAGTTATTTATTAATCAATCCACTTACAAAGCAGGTGGCTTAATGCAAGCTTATTGACATCTTCACATATGATCCATGGGAACATGTCTTCCACATACAGACAGTGACATTACTGACTGATGCATTTGCAATCTGGGGCATGTTAAGCATATTTAGACAAATAAAATTAGGCTATCCTGTATATGAAAGTATCTTGATAATATGCATCCTGAAGTGGATTAAAACTTTCTCCAAAGGAGAAATGTTAGTACGTTAACTTAACTTTATATTCTATATTATGCAGTAAATCTTAACTATAGAAATTAAAAATTTTAAATCAGTGATCGACTCTTGGTAATGTATGAAGTGGGAGTCTAAAACCAGAGCAACAGTAGGTTGACAGTATAATTTGTGCCTCACAGTATGTGCAGATTTACTGTTTTCAAGTTTAAAGAGAAATAAAACAAGAGACATGTAGATTCAGCTGACTTTATTTATCTTTAAACTAATAAAATCCCTTAAAAGTGATCCTGGGACCTCGAGAAATTCTATGAATGCAGAGATACCTGCCAATGACTGCAATTCTAAATCCTGACTGAATGTGTTTATTACAAAATCAATGTTAAGCAGATATCCTTGCTATACGTGCTTAGCAGAAGACTGAACAAAATTCTACATGTCGTCTTCAATTTCCCTAAAATTTTGTTAAATCTGCAAGTATGTACAATCCAGCTAATTGAAATTAATATTTAGTGTTCATCAGAGCTGTTTCACAGCAGCAAAAACTGACTCAGGGAAATAAAAGTTCTAAATGATGTAGGAAAAAGATAAATACAATCAGAACAGCAGTCTAAATGTATGGTATCAATATTCAACTCTATCTGCATTGTGCTGAAAGGAAAAGGATACACCAAGAAAATTTCTATTGATCACTCTGGTGATGTGAATACCACCTGCATCTGATTGAATATGGTTTGTATTCTGTTCCCAGTATTAAGGATGGTATTTAACTCAGAACTCCATATTGTAAATATACAGCAGCCATTTTGTCCTAATTAAGGAATGTCTTAATACACAATATTATCATTTTCTAGAGGATCTTTATACATTAAACTAAAGTACATGATTGATTAAATTAAAGGTTAGTAATGGATAAAAAAATTCATAATTCTCAAGACCTGGTACTATGTAAAAAACAAAAAGACCACAAAATTCTACTTACTAAAGCAGCTAATCTTGCCTGCAAGTTTAGGGTCACAAGCCCATAATATGTGCAAAGAAATGCAATACAAGGAACCATGCAAAAATACAGTAAAATGATACAGGAAAAATGTCAAATCTAGAAAAAAAAGCTTTTATAAATACATCAAACTCAACTGTATACATAAACTGTAGGTCTAGCATTAGTTGTACCATATAGCAGAGCCGCACTCTTAAGTTCAAGGCTTCCAAATCTGCGCAGGTAAGTCACGCCATCTTTGGTTGACTGCAGTACCAGGAGGATGGGAATGAGAGGGAGGGCAAGAGTTCTGAAACATGGTGTCAACTTTCACTTGGCAGCTGGGCTTCAATGTCCACTCTGCATATGGGGCACTTCTTATTGGTAATCAACCACTGGTCAACACACACTTGGTGGAAAAGGTGCATACAGGGAAGGCGCCTATTATGGGCAAACAAAACAAAAAGCAAAAATTGCAAAAGTGAATTTCATGACAACTGCACGTGGCATTTACTTTTAAATAAATGATAACATGTAATAATTCAGCAGTGTTTTGAAGTTACTAGCTCTTTCCCTTCCATATAAACAAAACAAACAAACAAAACACATACCCAATTCTCTAACAAGTTACACCTATATTAAATTACTACTTTGGGCAATATAATGTATAAATGACCATGATAATTAACTGTCACAGCTATGGAACCAAATTACATAAAATCTTAGGAATTTTAAGAATGACAATTACACTGGCAATTATCCCGGTCTGGTTTCTAATGAAGTTGGCAGTATGTTCCCTGTTACATAATACTGCAACTATATTTTTAATGTCAAATCACTGCATTTATTCAGCATTTAAGAATGTATTTCATTTAATTCTCCCTCAAAAACATTTGCACTCATGTTATAGTAAGTATCATACTAATTAAGGAATGTCTTAATATGCAGTATTATTTTTTATCTAGAGAATCTTTATATATTAAACTTGAGTACATGACTGATTAAAGGTTAATAATGTTGTTTTCGATAATATTGTTAAATCCACTTAATACCATGCTACTCTTTTAAAGGTAGGTCAATCCATTTTGGAATATATTTGTATTGTCAAGCCATGTTGTAATACAATGAAATAAATACAATGTTATATGTTAACTATATCTCAATAAAAAATTAATGGAAGAAATAAAAGTAGGTTAAAAGAAGATGTTTACTTCACTATACTACCCTGGGCTATCAATTAGAAATTGAGAAATAATGCTTCCAGGCAATACAGGATAATATTAAATCTAAATGAACAGTGAGATAAAAGTTACTGATTTAAGTGTCCATTTCTACTTCCATCTACTGTTAAGAATTGTCATACATTGTCAGACTTCTAACATTTTGTAAAATTAGTAGCTAAAAAGAGGTGTTCCAATTACCATGTGAACAAGACTGTCAATGCTGTAAAAACAATTACCTTCCATATTTATAAACCTTCTTTGGAAATACAGTGTTCTGAAATAACCTTAGGGGCTCCTAGGTGGCTCAGTTGGTTAAGCATCTGCCTTCAGCTCAGGTCATGATCCCAGGGTCCTGGGATTGGGTCCTGCATCGGGCTCCCTGCTCAGTGGAGAGTCTGTTTCTCCCTCCCCTTCCCTCCCCCGCTCATGTGCTCACACTCTCTCTCTGCTTCTCTCTCTCCCTCTCTCCCCCGCTCGTGTGCTCACGCTCTCTCTCTCTTTCTCTCTCTCTCAATAAAATCTTAAAATGTGTTTGAAATTGCCTTATATGTGGTACAGTAGCCAACTATGCATAATTTCTCTCTCTCTCAGCCAACTGAAGAAATATGAAAAAGTTATCCATGTTACATGTTAGGGCTACAAAATCATCATGTAGTTCTGTTACATATGCTACAGAACTTGTTTCATATGGGGTTATGTTACATTAAGAAAAAACAGAATAAAAATAAAACAATTACTTAAGAGATTATAAAAAGAAAATGCCTGGGGCGCCTGGGTAGCTCAGTAAGTTAAGCATCTGACTCTTGATTTCAGCTCAGGTCATGATCTCAGGCTCAGTGGTAATGAGCCCTATGTTGGGCTCCTCGCTGGGTGTGGAGCCTGCTTGAGATTCTCTCTCTCCCTCTCCCTGTGCCCCTCCCCTCACTCACTCACTCTTGAAAGAAAAACAGAGAGAGAAAAAAAAAAAAGAAAATGCCTAAAGTTAACAGCGGGTGAGCATAGGTAACATTTCTAAATCACAAAGTTGCAAGAAGAGTCCTATAAGTTGAGAGGAAATTTTAGGGCAAAACTATTTTATAAAAGATGCTATAAGATAAACTGCATGGAGCTAATGAGGATGGGCTCTCTTTAAGCTTTGAAGAATACATTAATATAACTATCTTAGGCTCTGAAGCCTCCAAATTCTCCTTTCTGCAAGATATATTTTCCTGGCCAATCCTGGTGTGCCTCTAAAATGGGCAGTATATTTCCCCATTACCAACCCCTTTGTTGGTAATACAAAGGCTCATCTTTCTATTCTTTCACTTACTGTAAAAAGGCAATTCTGCATGTCAGATATTGGTAACAGGGTATGCCAGGAGTAATCTTTGGTTTGTAGTCTATTTTCAAATAAAATCTCTTGTATAGTTTTGACAACAGATTTTAGATAATTAATGTCTAGTTACCTCACATCTTCACCT